TACTATTGTAGTGAGAGATTTATCTCTCAGAATTAAGAGTTATGACAAAAAGGAGGATATTTTTGGAAAATACTTTTCATTAGATCATCTGTTTAAAAGATTGTATAAAATACAATTATTACATTCTTCCATATGCTCCTTGTGTATGTGTGTGCGTTTGTGAATGGCTCCCTTTGTCCCATGTGTATCCAGATGGTATTACATTTTAATTTTATAAGGCTTCTAAATGATGGTAATTTTGTATATTTAGACTCACACTGGATATGGAATAATTGCTTTATCTTACCTAGCCTAAGGAATTGCCAAGCTAGTGCTGTTCATCTTAGTGATACAACACTGCCATCTAGTGCTTATTTAGAAAACACAAAATGCACAATTGGATTTGTTCACCTTGCAATTTAATTTGATGATTCCTGCAGGTTTGTTTCACAATCAACATAGTCCTGAAATGGTCATACACCTTGACACTATTTTGAATTTCTCATAAACAAAATAATAAATGTGTTCATGAACAAGGGTCTTAAATATCTCTGAATTTCACATTTCAACAACAGAATTTAAACTCCAAGTAGTAACTGTTTTCGTGAACAAATTCATTGTTTGAGGAGGGATTATTTCTAGTTGTCTAAAAAACAAAACAAAAAAGCAGGCAGGATAAGGTTTGCCTGTAGAATATCTAGAAACGCAAACCATGGTTTGGTGTGATGTCTGAACGGCACCTTTAGTTTTCTAAAATACTAAAATAATAAGCAGTTGCGACAACATAAAAAATAAAGGGAAGCAAAGGAGAGTTCAGTGAATCTGGTTGGTTAAGTACACAAAATTGCTTAGGTTTCCCTCTGAAGAATATGCTTGATTTGCACATTTTAACCAGAGTCCATGAAATAATGAGCACTGACTTTACCAAATGCAAGACATTTATTATAATACATGTAGCACTTGAGAGACATTTGTCAATTAACTGTTCTAGACCCTGGACTTCCAGGCATAATACACAGTCATGGTCACTCATAATGTCTCCGCCTCTTGGTACCGGCATTCTGCAGTCTTCTCCTTGAAGCCCATTTAAGCACAAATCATTGGCAAATGCATTGCTAGATTACCATAGAAGAAAGAATCAACAGATTACTTGCACAGAGGAAGAAAATGGATTGACAGGAACTAGAACTTCTTTAAACAAACACAAAAAGTTATTTATAGTACAACAACTACAGTGCAAAGACTAATCAATCTGCCAAAAGCCCCTTCATAACCTGCAGCTATAGAATGCAAGTGGCTGACATCATGTTGTCTGACTATCTTGCCATTTATTTAATAGCACATTAATCATGTTCCTAACCCTCATTGTTGCAACCTCCCTCCAAGTCAACAACAAGACTCTTGAAACGTGCAGATCATCTCTAACACAGCCTTCAAAAAGGCCAGCAGGGATTTCTATGAGCTTTGTAGTATCTAGGGAAGAAGGGGTGGGGGCTCATTTAAGTCAACCCACCTTGTATTTCAACAATACTTTGAAATTCCATGTCTCTTAAGGCACCCTTTCCTACTTCTGTTCCATCATGTTGATTTTTTTAAAATATCCAAACCTGACAATTAACCTGAGTTGATTAGAAAACACAATAAAAAAGCCCTTAAAGGGACCATTATATGGTGCCAGCTCAAAACCCCTGCACTTGGAGGCTTATGGTCAACCAGTGCAGGAGAAGCAGTGGAGCTGGTCATTGTTCTCTATCCTGCATTTTCCACTGGGCATGCTTTTTGGCCCATCTAGCTGGAGAGTCTCGGAGGAGATGAGACTGGGGACACATCAGGATAGCTCATATCCTGCCCTCCCCAGTGAAGGTGAAGTCTTGTCACCTTCCTGCCCACTCAAACACCCCCTTCCCTCTCTCTGAGGTTCTTGGCCTGAGCCTGGGCAGCAGATGGCCCAGCTGTGTCATCCCCAGCTGCAAGAGGGCAGAGTTCCGAGTTGCAGGGGGACAGACCTGCCTCCCACTTGGGATCTGGGAACGGAAACTATGCTATGGCCCCTCAAACCTTGTCCAGGGGCATACAATTGATCCCTCAAGGGTTTATCATCCATCATATCCCCCTTTTGTGTTGTGCCTGCCATTTTCGTATCAATGGCCAAGGTGACCACAGCCAACACAAGGGGGAGAGGGCTTGCTCACCCACCTATTGGAAGAGTTCCCTTCTGATAAGAGCACTACAGTTTTCTTAGATAGGATCACATCTACACTGCATGAGACTTCCATAAAAATTGTCCACAAAGAACAGGGGAGTAAATGTATCCTGTTTAGGAAACCCCAGTTTTTAAGGCTGCTCACTTACAACCTCCCTGCTCCTCCTCTGTTGAAACTGGCAGTGGTGAGATCCTTGGAAGAAGCAACTATACCTGTCATTTCTTCCAGTTCTCCCAGAAATTTCATCCCCTCATATGGGGCCACTATGCTTGAAAATTTTATTAACATTTCTTTTTAAAAAGAGGAGAAAAAGCTCTTGTCATGATCAATCCTATGGCTCATAAGTCTTACATTCCCAGCTACAAAGCCAAAAATTAGTCTGACCTAGTTGGGGTTCTCTGCCTGCATCCCCCTAAGCTGCTCATAGCTAGTGCACCAAAGAACTGTGCCAACTGCTTTCTTAAGAAAGAGATTGCTTAAGAAAGAAATTGTAAGAGCGATTTCAGAGAAGGGCTTTTAGGGGAGCTCCAGAGGGCAAGCAGTGGATGCAGCTGGTGCTGCCAAGATGTCACTCACTTGGCAGAGCGGGGGCCCTGCACAGGGTCCCTCCCAGTTTGGAGGGCTGTTGGCATCCCATAGGCTGTGCTTTGGTAGGGATGGGATGAACCCTTTCAGAATCCACCACTCCAGAAGTCACAGGGTTCCACTCATGCTCAGCCCAGTCTTGCAAAGTGAGCCAAGCCAAGAGGAGGTCCATGAATACTCTTGGACACCTAGCTGTGCAACTGGCAACCTTGCCCATCAGAAGTGGCTACAGGATGCCAGGAAGCCAGTGGGAAGCTGGAACCAGGGAATCCAATAGATTTTCCACACAAAATGGATTCCTCACACTTCCCTTTGGGTATAGGTAGACTCAGATAACATATAGCAACAAAATCCTTTATAACTGGCTGCTCATTGCTAGAAACAAAAGCTTGATGTGTAATCTTTGGGCTGGTCTAGCGAGGCTCTTCTTATGCTGCTCTGCATGCAATGACTATTGATCCAGGATGTCACAGCATTATGGATTGCCACTCAACCCTCCCAGGACATCTACCATGCACAGAAGGGCACTGAGGGACCACACAATTCAAGCTCAAGGGGGCACTGAACATGTGCAGGAAAAGTTAATGTAAAACCAGAAAACACAGCATAGGGGCACTTTCTGCTTATCCAAAAAGATCAAAGATTTAAAGAATCATCTATGCAAATAATTCATATTCCACTATTTCCTTACCTGGTTACATTGTGTCTAGAACTCTACACACACACACACACATATATACACTGCAGTGTCACTGCTTGACACTTCTTTTACAGATGGCACTGCATTTTCTAATTTGAAAGTTGCAAAGATGGATTGCTCTCATCAGATTCTAATTCTGAGTGCTACATTAAATCCACACTTGCTAATGAGGAAAATGCAACCAAATCACTTGTACAAATGAAGATAATAAGCAAACATTGTTCTATAACTGAACTACTTGGATTAACATTAGCAACCCTGGGCTAGCTCCACCACATATCAACAGAAGCACCTAAACTCATTCTGAAGAGCCCAAAGAAGTCCCTTCCTTGCTAAAATACAAGCTGGTGTAGTTCTGAAAATAGCAAAGGGGATTCTCAGCTCTCGGGCTACTTATCCTGACCGGGTGATACCCTGCAAGAAGCATTGCCTGTGCACCCTGAAAGTGTCTGAAATTATTTGAAAATGCAATTTTCGGACATCGATGTACCTCAAGGGAGAATCAGGAAATACTGGCAGCTCAAATGATACATATGCAAAAATACAGCTGCTATTGGAAAACAAGCCCAAGTGCTGGTTCTAAGGGAAGAGGGCGCTGCAACAGAATACTGACAAGTGTCGCGGCATCTGTGAGCGAAATGCAAGAGCAGCTTGATGGGGAGGAATTGCATGTGTGGCTTCATAATGGGAGGGCATCCATGCCATGGGGAGAAACACGAGGAGGGGCTGGAGCTGGGGTGGCCAAGTGGGACGAGCGCTGGGAGGGAAGGAGCTTCGTGAGTGGGGCAGACTAGGGAGGTGAGTGTGCAAAGAGGCCGGGTTGTATTTATTGGCACATGTGATGGACTTTTGGCCTTGGTTTTGTCAGAGTCAGTATTAGGCTTCACTAACTGGAATCCAAGCCTTTTGTGAAGCTTTACTTCATGGGCTGGTTGGAAATGGGTGAGGGAGACCAGCAGCAAGCAGGCTGTGACCCCAAGCACTCTTGACCCACCACAGAAGGCAAGAGAGAATGGGTGAGGGAAGGAAGGGCTTACTGAGAAATACTGCAAGTTCTTGCACATTCAGAAAGACATGCTAAACTAGAAAACAACCAAAAATGTCCACTTGTAGCCCATTGTGGAACAAGTCCCAGCAGATGGAAAAAGCAACATAGGACATATGAATGGGTGTGTGAAAGACCACGTTGGTCTACAAAAGGCTACTAAAACTAATCTCACAGGAAGTTCTGGTGCTGCCCAGAAAGAAAATTTGCGAGAAGGTGTCAGTGACCTGGTTAGTAAATTTTGCCTTCCTTTTCATTCCTCACAGCAGTTACCTAAAGCCGCGTTGTGATTTCCCTTTGGTGTCTATTAATATAGGAAGAGCATGGTCCATAGAATCTACATTTCACAAAACATGCCGTAGCATGAGATATGGGGTGTATGAAAGCAGTACAGGCTGTATTCTAGTTTTCAATGAACGTTTAAAAAGAATGCTACCACTCAATCATACAGAATTATTTACAAAAACTTTGGCAGTACAAAAGGAACCTAAAAAGGTGCAGAATCTGCCTCCTTTTCTTCATCTTCAATGATCACGGTCTGCTTCTCCTCTTCAAGTAGTTTAATACCTTCAACAAGGGAAAGGAGACAAATCAGATTAGTCAGAACAAAGGAACTTCTCTTTGGGTCATGAACTTTGAACTTGCAAGCAGTTTTTGAGGTCTGACGGCTGGGGAACAGTGCAGGGTCACATGTTTCTCTGAAAGCCCATCTATAGATCCAGACCTTGGGGCACCAAGAGATGCTCAACACAGATTTTTGGAGGTGTTCAATGTACTGCCAAGGAGTTCTGATTCTGATTGTAGAATCTTTTCTTTCTTTTCTTTATGACTGGGCTGGGCAAACAGACCCAGTGGCCAAACGTGGGCCTCCTACAGTCTCACATGGACATCAGATAGCCACACACCTTGGCCCCATTCTAAAAAGGCTGACATCACCTCTCCTGAGGTTTAGTTATAGTAAAACTTGGGTATGCCATTTTGGGAAGTTTATGCTCTCTCTCTCTCTCTGCCTGATCCATTTTGCCTTTGCTTTTCTCTTCTGCCCTGCCCACCCTGAGAGCTTCTCTGGAACTGAATTCAGCCCTCATCACTGCATGCTGTGTGCACAGGAGCAAGGACAGGCAGCTGTCATGGTGGAAAATAGCAGCTTCCTTGAGAAAATGTTTATCAGGAAAATGGTAGAGGGGACGGGCATTTTTTCCTCCCTTGGTGTCATAGTTTTGAGTAGAATCGGGATGTCCAAACCAGCTGCTTTTTCCTTCCTTTCTTTGAAAGTCAGGAAATCCAATCATATATTGAATTTCACACTTGGCTTCACTTTTTCTTGGCAGCCTCCAATGCCTAAACCTTAGTTAGCAGGAAGAAGATCATTTTCAGCCTGGTTTGGATGGCAGGAGACAGATACGTGCCTCCTTGAAGATCCATCCCCTTCCCTGAAGTGGAGCTAATGAGGTTGGGCTTAAAACTGGTTTAGAAGGAGCTGAGAATGTGGACAGTAGAATGAGAGAGCAGAATGGGGGCATCATATCTGAATACTCCAAAATATTTCTGCAAGTTAGAAATGAAGCAAATGGAGCTGCCTGAAAAGCATCTAAGTATGAAATTATTTTATTAATTTTATTTATTTAAAACTTTTCTAGACCGTCCCTTACCATGGTCTCGGGACGGTTTAACAATAAGGCAATATTTTCACAAATATTTGTGTGCTTCAAAATAAGGGTTATCCGGACACTGATTTCAGTTGGCTAGTTTGTGTTTTTTACATTTACAAGTTTCAACAGATTGGATCAAACTTGATTATATGTGGCTAACAAAGCAAAGTAAGGAGCTTGAGTGTTTGGATAGGATGCCAGTAAATCGCTTCCATTACCCTTATGAGCAGATGTGTATAGATGTTTATAGCACTTAGTTCCTTCCCATATTTGTCTAACTAGGATTAAAGTTCCTGGACAAAACAAGTGCATCATATTCTTATATATGCAGTATTCAGTATAGAAAAACCTCATTGCTTGTGGATTTCCTCCCCAAAGGCTGGGGTTTTAACATACTTGGATGGCAAAGCTCTGCTATTCAAAAGCTGTCCCACATTGGTCTGAGTCCTGGAAACCTCACCCAAAACATGTGACTTGCTCTAGAAGCCTCTGTCTTCTCCATGCCCTGGTTTAACCTCTTCCAACATAGAAGATGTATGCAGATCCTCTCATAAATATATTCTGGTTTGTTGCAGGGTCTGAACATAGTATCTCTGCATTTATGGGCCAACATTAAAATAGGCAAGAAGCTACTGTTAAAACAGAGGTTTCACACAGGCAGAAGCATCAGACAAGGATATATTTTTATCTCCCTATCAGTTCAGTCTGTACACAGAACTTGTTATAAGAAAAGCTGGATTTGGAAGGAGACAAAATTGGCAGAAGACACATCAATAATTTAAGGTATGCGGACGATACCATTTTACTGGTGGAAAGCAGCAAGGAATTCAAATGACTCCCAATGAAGGTGAAAGAAGCAAAACTGCAGCTGAACATTAAGAAAACACAAATCAGGACTATTGTTGAATTTTACTGTCAACCATGAAGAGACTTAAACAGTGAGAGATTTCACCTAACATTGTGCAATTCAAATAGAGGAAGCAGTCAAGAAATACAAAGGATTTGAGAGACTTGGAAGGGCTGCCCTTAGAAGGAACTAGGAAAAACCATCACTCTAAGGACATTTGCCTGGAGTCATTCACACCACTGTATTCCTGATGACTATCTAGACCACTATCTAGGTCACCAACCATTTTGTTAAAGCACCACCATCATTACAGGTTGGCCTGCAAAACAAGGTTGAATTCAAGAAACACTTGCCTATTATGAGGAGAGTAAAACAGTTGCTCTTCATGTGACTTTCTTTGTATTGTAAGTAATTGTGAAATAAGCATCTTCAACTATTTGTCTGCCTACTTCAGGTTCTGTCCTCAGGATGGAGCAAAATGGGTGTCTCGGCAGTGTCTCAGTGGGCTACTCACCCACTGGACCCAAAGGCCTGAGAAAGCAGGGAGGTTTCAAGGGATTCAGAGGCCCCAAAGCTGTTTTGGAGGAAAGAGAGGCAAACAAAGACTTCCACACCCCTCCTGCCCTACAGGATGAGCACAGGCGGACTTGGGGTGGCCAGAGGGCTCTGACATGGTTATAAGGTGTTGTGAGTAAGGGCATCGTAAAGAAGACAAAATACTAGACATAAAACAGGGCAGAATGATTGCAGTCATTTCAGGACATCCACCAGCTCCTTTTCCAAAGAACAAAGCAAAACAAACAAAACCACTGCACCAGAGAGAATGAACTGCACAATGCGTTTCTTTTCTACATTTCTTTTTAAAAAGCTGGTACGGCTATTTATAAATAGGCGGAGGGACTTCACCCTCTGAGGCCAGGCAAGGCTCCTTCATAAATCAGCCTCCAACTGTTTCCTGTCAGTGGGCTTTTAGCCTGAGGGTTGGTTGTGTTGATTCAACTAGCCCTTTCCCTTGCCATTTTCCTTCTTTTCTGCTATGAAAAGTTCTTCAAAGAATGAAGGGCTTCATAGAGTCTGGAGTGGGAGGAGAAAGCAGCAGCGCCACACAGAATGGCTTTGTTCACCTCTGCATTCCAGTCAAAGGAGAAATGCATCAATGAGAACCCTTTGCTCACGCTGGTGGAAAATGCTGAAACATGGATGAACGGATGTTCTCCATGATGAATGAATGGCCGACACGACATATGCTTAATGGACGATTGACTCTAATCCTGGTCATGATCCTGTTTTTTGAAAGGGAAACAAATATCATGAAAGGGAGATAAGTATTCCAGCTAAATACCCATGATTAAGGTTGCAGCCTGTACCATTTACCTGAGGGTAAGTCCCCTGTTGAACTGTGGGACTACACTCTGAGTATACATACATAGAATTGCACTGCAAAATCATACAAACAACGGAGTCCGGGAAGCAACAACTTTCAGTGGAACACTCAAACAACTGGCTCATGACGATCATGAGACAACCCTTTCATGCGCCGCAACACAGCACTTGGCTCAGGCCAACCCTCTTGGACAGATAGCCAAAAAGAAGGATTTGCACTGAGGCATAAAGAAAGAGTCTGATCCAGAAGGCAGATTTCTATTACAAACAGGTCCTCATTGCATCGAGTGGACCTACGGCACATACGCTAACCTTTGGTCTTATGACTAATCCCATCCATTTCGAAACAAAGCTTTCTTTTTTTGTATTCCAGATCTTTTGATTTATTTCCAGGAAGTATAGAAACCACACTTTTGACCTGAAATGTCAAGGTACATATTCTCAGGATTTTGGGGCAGGTTTGATGCATGTTTAGACAGAGAAAAGCTCTTGTAGCTTTTCCCCCAGGAAGCATGGATGGCTAGGCAATCTGGATGTAGCATGCAGGGATACAGGGAGGTTGTCTGTCCAAACAAGCATAGGGTTTTGCCCTTAGTCCATATATTTGCATACCCATTTTCCACAATGCTTTGTGCTCAAAGCAGTTCACAAAGCACACAAACACAATCACCACAACTATAATGCATCGCTATGCAATACTAACCTAGGCACAATCCACTGAAAAGATACTAAAATTTACACAAGTTCAAGACATACCATACGTTAGTTAGCAATATTAAGTCGTACCAAGGACAATACAGACTTTAAAGAATTCACTACAGCAGCCTTCACCAATCTGACACCTCCCTCGGATGTGTTAGTTTACAACTCCTGATTTTCCTCAAGTTTCTCACAAATAAAAGATACTACACTAACACAGTATTTATCAAAAAAAATACTCTGTGGGACCGTATGTGACTATTAATGCCACAAACCTGTGCAAGTCTACTTAGAAGTAAGTTCCAGAGTGTTCAGTGGGGCTTACTTCATAATAAATACACAAACAGCTGCACTCTTAAGTGTTTCAAAAAGAAAAAAAATTATGAACTCTGTATGGGGTGTGTGTGAGAGAACTTATTATCTGAAGGTATATTCCACCTTTCTACAGCTATATATAACAGCTATAGAACATAGCAAAATGTGGAACAATTAAGGCCCTACAGCACGAGAAGGAAAAAGCAGAGTAGCTGAACACTATTAAGAATAGAAAGTCAGTGATAATATTTCAAACCCTGATCATATTTGAACCTCTTAAGACAAATAGTACACTTTAAAAAAAGGAAAGTATTTTCAGGAAAGTAAGACTTCAGAGAGAAGATTAGTTAGGTCTCATAATAATAATAAAAAAAAAAATCCAAAGTCCTCTCCTGTGTTCCTCCCAAATGTAGCTTGGATACAGTGAGGATGAAAGAAGGGTCCCAAGTCTGGTATAAGTCATGTTGGGCCTTCAGCTTCCCTTGTCCCAAGATGTTCAGGACATTATAGGTCATTACAGTATGTTGAATTTTGCCCAGAAACAAACCGGTAGCCACTCCCATTGTTGTGACATGGAAATCATATGCTCCCTAAATGGGGTATTGGGTTGTGCCCGGGTTTAATCCTGACTTACTTATCCCATTGATTTCAACAGATCACTTCTAAGCAGAGTCTGGATTCAACCAACTAATTGAATCATTTGTATCCTCAATATTTTTTTCTAGAGTCTGAATTATTTCTGGAGGGCATCTTTGAAAAGAGATGCCAAGAAGGATCAGAGGGTTTATCTTGCAGGGGAAACTCAAAGATGGACTGCTGTTTTCAGATGTTTATGAGGAAAGCCATTTGGGTAGAATGGTGGGACATGCTGGGTGTGCTAGGACCTCTTCTGTGTAAAGCCGCACGGGGTTGCACCCAAATAAAGATTGCTGGTTCTCACTCCGGGTGATGGGCTGCTTCCTATGCCTTTGGCAGATACTCAAAAGCAAGAAAAGAGTGAGCTGCAGAGAAAAGGAGAACAGGGTCCTGAAATGTGCCCATTTGGTTAGCACTGCATACAAGAGCCAAGCTGAAAATAAATAACAAGAAAAGGCACTTTGATGTTTATTTGCAGCAAATAACCATGTGGAGGCTACTCAGGTGAGGAATGTAAAATGGAGATTTTATTTGGCCAAACATCTACAAGAGCTCATTTAGTCATCGTCTTCCTCACACTCCTGTTCTACATGGTGGTTAACCAAATATCAAAGAAGTATAAATAGGGTTCTAGTTCAGAGGCAAACTAAGGGCTGATTGACACAACCATGGTGAGGTGGTCATTTGTCCCTGACTTCCCCGCTGATCTTGTAAATGCTTTGACTGCTGGTGTCATTGTGGCTCTGGTTCATTGGGGGGGGGGGTCCTACAACAGACCCCCTTTTGTTTATCAGGGAGCACTGCCATGTTATTTAAGCACAACACATCTACTGCTTGAATTGTACTTAATATGTCATAAACAAATGCAATTGCAGGGAAACCAGAGGATTCAGAAAGGCTGAAAACGTTGCTGTCTCTCTCCCACTGTTACCTATGCACAGATGTGATGAGTGATTTTTTTCTTTTTTTAAGGAATTAAAATTGACTGCTTTCCCTCCCCCCACTCCCACCAGCTCATTGAGATCAGGGAATGAGGTCCTTCTGAAAGAGCCATCCCTAAAGGAAGTAGAAGAGATGGCAAATAGAAGAAGGGCCTTTGAAAAAGAAAAATAAGTTTAGGGATATTTGGGATGTATTTCTTGAGTATGTCTTTAAAAAAGTGAAAGGGTCTGAGATGTCAAAAGAATTATTACAGTTATGGAAGGGGGAAATATCCTGAAAGAAAGCATGAATGAGTTTCTTTTATCTATAACGCGTATCCTTGGTCCTGGTGATGGGGGGCACAGTATTGTAAGAACTCTTGTAAATGCATGCTTAATTTTATATGTTTATATTTTGAAGGTAGTACTATTTTGGTTATATTTTAGATTGTACATTAAAATAAATAAAGTAGGGCCTTCTTGGTGGCTGCCCCATCTTTGGAATGGGCTTCCTAAAGAGGTCTGTCTGGCGCTGTCACTGCACTCATTTCAGTGTCATGCAAAAACCATCCTCTTTCACAGGTATTTCGAGATCTGATTTTAAATGTAGTGCTATTGTAAGAGCTCACTCTGCTACTAACAGGTTTCCCACCTATTCATTCCCCCTATACTTATAATTGTACTGTTGCTCTGTTTCTCAATGCTGTTAGCTGCTTTGAGAGCCCTGTCAGACTATTTAACAGCCTATCCATGTGAAAAATAATAAATAACCAATCGATCAATCAGGGAGAAGGAGATGTGCAGAGAAGAGATGAGTCTGGGTGCTGTGCTCCCACCTTCCATGGGGTGAAGCCAACAGGATGAGGACCCCTGATTTCCCTCCACCAAAAAGCAATTCCTGAACACAAAGACAGCCCCTTTCCCATGCTGACTTTCCCAAGCACCAACATGATTTACTTCTGAATAACACTGCTGAAGATAATGTGACATGGAGAGTATTTTCAGCTAAATGCTCCTAGATGTAAAAGAACATCTGAAGATATGGCAGGCTTTATTTTTTCACAGATCAGGGATGGGGAAGAAGAAACATTTACTCTCCAGTTTACTGAGCACGTGAGAGAGAGAGAAGATCCTTGATGGGAAGGCGTAGGTGGTGGTGGGACAGCCAGGGAAACAGGAGTGCAAATGAAGGCTGATTCAACTCTTCTTAGCAGAGTTGCTGTTTTGTCAAGGGCTGTGTGACACTTGCTTTTGCAGTGCTAACCACAGCCCTCCAGCCCATGGAAAGCACTCCCCTCCCACTGAGAGTTTAGCGCACACAGGAAAAACAGCATATTAAAATGTTGTGATGTGACTGCTCTGGAGAAGTCCATGCCGTCTTCTGTAATGGTGGAAATACCTTGAGGAAGATGGCTTGCCAGACCAGTGAGTCAAGCACCGTGGTACTGGTAAGAAGCATAGTGCGGATTCCTGGTTCACATTTCAGCATGGCCCCACCAGGATGTAGCTGTCCAGCCTGAATCTGATGGGTTTTTCATATTGCTACATTGTCAAGCATGTCAAATCTCTCAAGAGCCAGCAAGTCATGAAAAATGTCAATCTATTAGCATCACATCTCACCTATGACATAAAACAATCTTCAGAATCCCCAAAGGTACAATCCTATGCAAGTCTAGACAGGAAAAAGGCCTTTTCTCCCATCTAAACAAACAGCACAGGGCTACACCTAAGCTTATCATTAGACTGAGCTCATCTTTTTCAGATAAAGCAGAAATCTAAAAGGGTCCACCACTAACAGCCATACAGGATTGGCCCATTGTTAGCACCTAGCACAATGGGACCAGAAGGCCGCAGCCACAGTGTGCTTACTTACCCACAATGCTCCTGGGTTCTGCCCCCAAGTTAAATGTTGGGGTAAGGCCCAGAGGCATTGTGGGTAAGAAAGAGGACAGTGAGAGCAGCTCCAGCTGCCTCCTCCAGGGCTTCTCTTTAGAACAGTGGGCTGCCTGTCCCCTGGCCCTTTTGGTGCTCTCCTTGCTCCCCCGCCCCGCCCCCACAAAAAAGCAGTGATTTCAGAAGACAACAAGATGCACAGAGGACACGCACCTTGTTTGAAAACAAAGTGCCAGCAATCCGTATGACTTATGTCCTTCTAAGATTGCTTCCACCACCATGGCATCAAATTCATGGCCGGGGGGGGGGGTGCTACCAGAGGTTTCTTGAGTTACCACATGGACCCCCAGCCCTTGGAAGCTGCTCACCCTTGATGGCATGAGGGAATACTATACAATTGGAATAATGCTTTCAGCACCTTCAGCTGTCATCTCTGCCACCTGCCAACATCCCCATCTATACCTGGTAAGTTTGGTTTGGTTTGGTTTGGTTTGGTTTGGTTTGGTTTGGTTTGGTTGGGGGACATCAGTACTGTGGCACACTGTTCCCAGGGCCCCAACAAAACTTGTGGCTGCCCTGGTACGAATGCCATAGAACTACATGTGGAGAACTACAAGTAAACCATGCCTCCTCCTCCTCCTCCTCATTATTATTCATACATTACATTTACCCCACCTTTCTTGCCCTGACAAGAAACCCAAAGCAGCTTACAAGGTTCTCCCCATCTAAATCTTATCCTCACAACAATCCTGTGAGGTAGCTTGGGCTGAGAATCCATAAGCCACCCAGGGAGCTTCATGGCTAAGCGGGGACTAGACTCTGGATCTCCTGAGTCCCAGTCCAAGACTCAAACCACTACGCCACTCTAGCTCAGCATACTCATTTATGATTCAGCAAAGTTTACGTTAATCCCTTTTTACCTTCTATCTCCAATAAAGAAATTCTCTGACTGTTCTTTTGTTACCTTTTCACTGGATCACAGTCAATTAATACAATAAATTTTGACTTGATTCAGGTTGGACAGTCCATACCTGCTGGATATGTTTCTGAGATTTGTGGATTTTTCAGTGGAATCCTGGAAAAGTCATATCTTAATAATAATGTAACCATATTTTCCATTTCTGAATAAGAGAGCACACCATCTAAGCTTGAGCAGTGATAAGTTTCAGAACTGATAGCTTGTTTGTTAGGAAGTGTGACAACAGATGGTGTCTTTCAGCCAACTATTTGAAAATTGGCTGATGAATTTCCCAGTCATGTGACAAAATCATAATAGGTGCAGTGTTCCTTATAGTTGCTTTCTAGTTTTGGAGTCTTAAAAATTAAAGCTTTTTTTTAGCAAAATGTGGCTTTTAAAAAGCTGATCAATGAGTTAACCCTGTGTGCACTGGAAAGCATTTGTGACTCTGACTAGCAACATTGTGTGGGTTCCTATGAAAACTATTTTTCTTTCGGCTTGAAAGTCCTTCAATGAATGACACTTTTACTGGCTACATAGAAGGATAAACATTCTGGGGAAACACTCACACACACACTGTAAAATATGAAAATACTTATCAGAAATTCTCCTGTGCAGGAAGATTATGGGTTTGGAGAGAATGGAAAAGAGAAAATATATACATATACAATTGTATGTTTCTTATCAAACTCTTGAGAACTATACAATTTGCTAGGCTATCAAGCAATGCTACCATGGATGTATAATCTTACCAGTAATCGAACAAACTTTAAAAAAACATGATTGTAAAGACTATTCATGAGACTGTTCTGAACCTAAACAGTGATACTTTAAGCACATTTTCCAAGTCTCTTTCACTTTTCCCTTACCTGCAAGCACAGGCGGTGTATTTATTGCGGGTGTATTTTTTCTTCTGGGCTTTTTCTGTTCTTGTTCCATTTTTTGCAATGCTAGACTGCTGTTACTCTTTGGCAGTCTCTCAGAGAAGTCACACCTCCTAATTAAGTGGTCTGAAAGGATGCCTATAGAAATACCATAGGAAATAGAATTAGACTTTGCAAACCATTGCGAACTTTTCATCAGCATGACAAGCAAAAATTTTGCTCAAGAAATAACTCCCTGATGTCTAGCCTGATGCAGCTATTTTTAAAAAGATGCTTTTAGAAGTAACAATAAGGATGCAGTGACACTAAGCCTGAGTGGCTTTGTTCTTCTTTTTCTTTTATTTAAAAGGTATTGAATTCATGCAACCCCATGGCTTCTACCTTCCTTTGACCTTCAAAAGCTCCTTAACACAGTGCAGAGTTTTCATGCCAACATGCAGCAAAAACAGACATACAGCACAACGTATAGTGTTGAGAGTCAGGGTGGCGTGGTGGTGAGAGTGTTGGACGAGGGACCTAGATCTGGATTCTAGTGTCCACTTGGCCATGAAGCTCACTGGGTGACTTTGGGTGACGCTCACTCACTCTCAGCCTAACGTGCTCCACTGGGTTGTTGCTCTGAGGACTCTGTGAGCTACTTTGGGTACTTTGCAGGAGAAGACAGGACATAAATGCACGGGAGGAAGAGGAAGAAGAAGAGGAAAGAGAAGGGGTTCAGGGATGCTCTCAGGGGCTGCCTTCCATGGGTGGCTGAAAAGCAAAAGCAAAAACCCAAACAAGAGAGCATATTATAGCTGAAAGCTCTTACTGCCAGCAGCCAAGCCTTAGGAGAGGCATTGCAAAAGACAGGGAAGCACCAAATGATTGATGTTGAGGTCTGGCCTTCTGGGGACCCTGGGGTCCTTGGTTTGGCCTTTGAGCCCTCAGTTCTGCCATTTACGCATTCCAGTATGCATTCTCACTAGGCAGGACTTGAAGGGAGCTGTCATATAGTATAGCAATTCACAAGGCTAGCCCATCAAGAACTATGGCCAGGTATGAGCTTGATGGGGGCTTGGCACAGATGGCTTCCTGTGAACTGCTCCCACCTTGGTGGGCCCTAGCAACATACTCTCTGGTGGCGAAGGTCAGTGGCAATGGAACTCCAAATCAAAGCTGAGTGGTGGGGAAGTGCCATTGAAATTAGCCACAAAACCACAAAGCAACAGGTCATTAGGGCCCCCGTGAGCAATAAGGAAGTTGTTACCAGGCCCAGCCACTGTAATAAGGAAGGCCCAAGGAATGCATTGGTGGTGGTCCCTGACCTTGGGAGTGTCAGGAGCTGTTGCCGGGCCTATCAAAGCCAAAAGGGTTATGCTATGTATGAGTCTGTTGAAAGCTGTGCCTTGAACAAGCCATAACTTGACTCCCGTCTTAAGAGCACAAGAATAATATAACAGTAATGTAGAGCAGCATGTTAGGTTTGGAAAAGCAGAAGTGGGAACGCTGTCGTGTGGATGGGAATGCCTTCCCTGAACAAGAGGACCAGTCTAACCAGTGAGCTGCCTGGTGTTGTCTGTAAAAAGGCTTCAGAGGCCTGTAAGGACATTCAAAGCAACAGGTCTGCATGGGAGCTGGAAGCTTCTGGAACGAATCTGCTTGGCATTACTTTTAGCAGTGCTCTCATTACAAGATGTATGCAAGATGCAGCTTTTTGGGTTCTGCACCTTATGCATTGCAGCATTATAGGAAGATTACAAAAGCACAAAGATCGGATCTGTCATGGAGCTCCATGCATCCATCTGTGGTTCCACGTTCCACTGAAGTAGTAACACCAGACGAGCTAACCTGCGATTGGTGGTGGGGTATGTATTGCCGGTGTATCTTTCCTCTTTGGTTTTTTTTGTTCCAGCTCAGTTTTCTGAGAGACTTGAAGAGTTTTCCCCTTTTTTGGTATCTTTTTGAGTTCGCAGTTTTTAAGTAACTGTTCAGAAAGATCATCTGTATTTTTAAAAAGAATATATAATTATCAGGACAATCCCATTACATTTGATCTTGGGCTGCAAATTTCTCACACATTTCACCATTCCCTGAAGATATAACTTAAGTACAGCCCAGTTCATTAGAACACCAAAAAGGTTCTGACTGTAAGTCAGGAGTAGGTAGCGGTGGTGGATAAGTTAATTCAGGCCACTGGCAACCACAGGGGTGGGGTTTCTAAGAAACAACACTTCTTATTCTGTGGCGGGTAAAAATGCAACATGTCAATTTTCATACCACAGTTAAAGTGTTGGTGTTTACCTTTAAAACCCGAAATGGTTTGGGACCAGAAGATCTAAAGGAACATCTACTCCCAAAGGTATCCGCTCCGTTTCTTGGGTCACTTTTGGAGCTCTCTTCTTGACACTCCTGCTGAAGGAAGCTGGGGGAAAGGGGCACTAGCAGAGGGACTTCTCAGTTGTGGTACCACAATTATGAAATGAACCCCACAAAGAGGACCAGTGTTGCTATCTTTTTACTGAAGTGATGAGAGGTGAAGGTACTTGTGAGTGACAGACAGATCAAAAGAGAGAAGGTGGACTCCCAAGTTCTTTCTTTAGGACCCAATTCTCTTCATTTATTTTGAGAAGAAAATCCTTTGAGTGCCTTTTCTACAATATTCAGGATTTTTCCTTCCTGTTTTCTTGTTCCTGTTATCTTTTTCTTGACAAACATTCTTTTCTCCCAGGTATTTTAGAGACCTAGTTCTAGATTTGAATGTCCAATTTATTGATTCTTGATGGTGTTTGTTGTTTTGCATGCTTTGTATTTTACTCATTTTAATGCTTGTACTTTATGTTATATGTTTGAACTCTATCTATTTCATTTTGGAATTTTAACTGCCACTAATATACCCTGAAAACATTGGTTAGTAGACAGATGTGAAATATAATAAATAAATACAATTATTGATGCATTAATATCAGATTTCTTAGGGGGCAAATCACACTGCCATGTTTCATCTAACATGCTGACTTTTATGCTATTCACTGCATAGTGTAAAAGGGAAAAAGTAGTGTGGAAAGCACCCAACAAGTCAATAGGAGTTGTGCAACTCTGATTTTGAGGATTGCTGAAATCATGTGCCTTCTCAATATCTTGTTGGCTGGAAGAGCATATTCAACAAAAGTCTGTGTTCAGCTGGGTGAAGCCAGAGAGCCTTACAAAGCTGTAGTAAGACAAGGGTTCCCAAATATGAGCAAGTGTGAAATATGCATAGCTAACAAAAGCTAGTCCCCTGGTAAAGCAAAACAGGATTGTCAAAAGGTTTGTAGAAAAGTTTTACACCAAATCTGGAAACCTTGTGCATGGCCATGGTAAAGGAGAAGAGTTCAGCTTAGGGTTCATCCCCCGCTTCATTCTGTACCTTATTAATGCATGGCTGCAGCTTTGGCTAATATGGGTAATATTTATATACTGAAAGCAATATGAAGAAAGCAAGCAAGCACACCCCCTACCCACCCTTTGCTTCCCCATCTGGTCTCAAATGCGTCACCAGAAGGCAGTCTATCAGGTTTCATGAGGAGCAGTTGTTCAGATGGGGGGGGGGGGGTGGGAGGAGTGGGGGATGGGATAGGATGGCTCTGGCCGGCACTTAAAGATGCAAGGAAGACCTTTTCCTGAACAGCAGGCACTCTCCAAGACTGACCTAAGTGGTTACAGCGAGCATCTCGCCCGTCCAATCTGTCTTCCGAGATCTCATGCGACGGCTGCACATATTCAGTTGACATCACTGATGAGGCTGTTCTTAAGCTAGGAGCACAAAATAGTACATGGGGTATAAATGGTTGAGCTTTGCGTCTCACAAGCTTCCATGCTTTCCTACTAAGATTTAGAAGGGGCTCATTTTCTCCACACCGTCCCTCATTGGTTTTTCTTTCTTTCAGAATGTTACTAAGTTGACACATAAAGGGTGGTTTTATGCCAAAATTATCTCTTTTCATAAACAACAAGAACTTAAGGAATATTTCAGTAATGCACAGAGCACTCTGGCAAACTAAGGAATGTTTCAGGAGCCACTAACACTTTCTGGTATTTAAAGATGTTCTCCGATACCTGATTATGGGGTACAACATGTGGCCCCATAAATGCAGCATAGCTGACTGGACATATTTTATGGTCTATCGCGTTCTTGGCAACCTTCCTGTTTGCAGGCTCAAGCAGGCCACAAAAACAGGATGTTTATTCAATCTGTATTGGGCTGCCATCCATGACTGGTGGACTGCAATTGGCTTGCTGGGTCACAGGACATGCAGACCAGTGCTACATCGTCTTATTTTGCCTTCCTGTCTCTTTCCTTCTCCTAACAATCCAGTACCTCAGTGGCTTATCCACTGAGACTTTAGTTCTCCCTAAGAAAAGGGGGAACATTTCCAAAGACTCTCTGCTGCTGAGCAATTAGCTTCCTCCACATTATGGCTAGATATCTGTGCTCTTTATTTGATCTAAGGATCAGCGATATTGTTGCTGTCTTATCCCAGAAGGGCTCCTGTTTCTTTAAGAGCAGGTTGAAAAAGAGAGATGTAACAAGTGGGAGAGATTGGGTCCCCACTACTCAACATTCACTCTGCATCCTTGAATGAATATGAGCAGGACAGGATTTTGGTCTTGGGTTAGGCTTGCACTTTAGTTTGACTTATTCAGTCTCAGTACTAACAATGTATAAAAAAGCGATTCCTCTTCCCACCAGCACTGTGAATGGTTAGACCCATGAACAGCTTGAAAAGACATGCAAACAAAGCTGCAGGTGGCCTTTAGATATAATAGGTCTTCTCTTCGCCAAAAAAGAGAAGTTTGAAAAAGTAATGTATGTGAGTTTGTGGACTGTTGCACCTGGCATTGTTAAACATTTGCTGCAACCATTCTTCTATAAGCAAACCATTAAAAGAATCATTATTGCTACGAGGATTATTAATTGATACACTAAGGGTACGATCCTGTGTCCTTCCAGACAATGTCCTGTGATCTCAGAGCTAGAACACCAAAGGTAGAACCCCCTCCCCCTGCCTTCACAACTGGCATGGAATGAACCCCCAAAGATTCTCCAGCCGCCCGGAATTAAACTCCTGAAACGAAGACAGTTTGGATTAACCATGAGTTGATTTGGCTGTGGAAGGACCATTCCGTTCTGGAGGGAGCCCTGCACCTAATAATGTATTGTAAATAGTTCCTAGTCTTGGAGATGATTCAACACTGTATCATTGTCCCACCTACATCCAGCATTCAAAGAAAAGACAGCTGAATTCTTTTTCTTTCTTGAACAAAGTGAGAGCTGTGTGAGGAAGTGGTCAGAACAGCCTCTTACAGCATAATGCCCTCCATATGTATGGAACACCCCCCCTGCCCCAACCACCATCCTCTGCCAGTATGGCCATTGATCATGCTGGCTGGGGTTGGTGGGAGTTGTAGTTTACACATCTGGACAGCACAAGGTTGGGTGAGGTGGGCTTGGACTGCAAGACTGTGTCTGGGAGAGCCCAGGTTCAAATCCTCTCTCATCCCTGAAGCGTCTTTGGACCAGTAATTACCGTTCAGCCTGAAGTCCTTCACAGCACTGAATGAAGTCTCCCCACAGCAAAGACCTGCTGCAAGATCAATTTTTTAATCTTCTTTCCCCATCATCTTTAATTACTTCCCTTCAAAAATTTGGATCACATTCTGCCTGGGTGGAGGCAGATATCTGTAGTAAGGTGGCTTTTAAAGTCCCTCCCTATTGAAGGAGGATGCAGCAGCTTTATTCAACTGCAACAGGGGTGCATGTTCTTGGCAGTCTGTTTCCCACCTGTAAAATAAGCTTAAGAAGTCCTGTGCCCTCAAGGACTGAGATAAACATGAATAACGCAATTATTGCAAGGCACGTGTAGACTTGTGGGTGACTGGGGAGAACTGCTTCTCTCAGCCGTGATGCACCATGGCTCTTTAAGTGGCAGCCATGCATATTTTATGGGGTTCATGGCCTGCGCTGCATATGTACAAGCTTTAATCTGGCATGTAAGACCTCAGCCTTCCAGGAGGCAAAGAAAGCAGCAGCAGGGGGAGCGTGGAACAGTGCACTGGGCAATCGGGGATTCTTAGAACTGCAGTCATGTTTCAAGGACAACCTTTCTGCACCCCCAAGATCTGGAGCCTGTGATTGTGGTGTGATGCTTCTGCAGATCACTTTCCTCTTCAAAATGCGGCAATAGTAGGGAGCTGGTGGTTCACAGCTGAGGCAAAATTTCCATTCACTATTGCCTTGCAAAGCTACCACTGTCCAATCCAGCCCACTTGGGATTATTAATGCAGTAAATCCAAACCCTACATGTGCCTTCTAGAAGGAAAGCCTTGAAATGTGCATGAGATTACAACCTCAAGTTTTGTGTGCTTTACTTGCAAATAACATTGGCATGTATAACACCCATTAGATTCACACGTTCACACGGCTTCTGGATAATTGGAATTGGTGAGCTTCTGGTTTGTGACATCATGGGTCCCAGAACTCCTTGGCTCAATTTTGCATGCATCAGCAGCCATTATCTATGGAGCGAATCAAAGCTAGGCTGTATGTGGCATGCACAGACTTAGAATTTGCATTTCTGGAAGTGCAGCTTTTTCCTTTTTTGAAATATAACCTACTAGTCTTCATTATAAATCAAAATACGATTGAAAACATATGTACAATGTCTGCGAAAGTCTGGGCTTTCTAAGCACAACTTTTAGTGACGATATGATGGTTACCTTGTCCTCCCTTGTACCCTTTTGCCTTATCCTTTTTTCCAATAGATCCCAATTGCTGTGTTGTCATTTTACAACTACACTACTTGCCAAATAGTGCCCTAATTCTGCAAACCCACAAACAGCTGTATTATGCTGAAGTGCTTGTAGCAGTAGTGCAAGGAATCTTACTAAGGCAGCTGCCACCAGCAATAAGAGTTGCCTTTGCCACTCTGAAATTCACTCACCTGGGGATCACTCTTGTGCTACACGGTGATAATGCCATGATTTTTATCCCTCTACTGGCACTTTCCCCAGAGGATGACCTCTGGCCTTCCTCATGTTTTGGCCTACAACTCCTTATCCCCATAGTCAGTAATGAGGATGATGGGAGTTGTGGGAAAAGCATCTGGAAGGCCATAGATTAGCCTTCCCCTATACATACACACTAACACCAACTCTATAGGGAAGCATAAGGACCTTAGACTGTGAGGCTTCATGCCAGAACAAAACTGCTAGTGTATGGGTACCACTACAATTTTGCACAGCCAGAACACTGGTGAGAAGTACTGCTGAATGAACAGCTGGAGCATATCCATATCTGCTGGCTAGAAGACTATTGAAGCCCACCCCAGCCAAACCAATGGCTGAAGTAGCACCATTTTGAAGAACACAGAAGGGAGACAAGATGTCTCTTGGTCAATCAGCCCTTCTAAGGGTAGTGCTGAGTAACAGGCTCCTATATTTTAGGTCATGCCACATGATGTTGAGGTATGCCCACCTCGTTCATTAATCTCTGGCAGTTCTTCCCAAAATAGTTATGGGCCTGTGGTTTTATCAACAGAGGATCTCAGGAGCTAGAGATGTCAGCCTAGGCTGGACTCTTGTACCTTAAGTCTGGGTTGGGAGGTAGACCATATTAGCAGGTGAGAAGATGAACCAATATCCTGAGATGGTATTCCAACACTTCCACTCTGATGTTAAAGAAGGATCTCGCTGATTTTCGTGAAACGTATTTCTTTCCAATGCTTTTAGAAGTTGGGGTGTATTTTTTTCTCTTTAGACTTCCGTACACATAAAATTCTCCCAAAGATTTGTATAAAAAGTACAAAAACTTGGTAATACACATTATTCAGGTAAAACAGAAGAATGGGAATAACTGTTTTTATCTATATCCTAATAGCAGTATGACAACATTTCTAGAATAAAACTTAGAACCTTAAAAATCAAACAGGACAGTCATTTTCAAAATGTTCCCTAAACCCTTAACAATTCACACTCTCATACACTCTAAATTCTGCAAGCTATAATAAAACTAGAGTGTACACAAAGACATCATAGGTTTTCATTGTCCATGGAGGTGAAAATGTTGCTGTTAAGGAGCTGTTAAGAATGAAGTAACAATACTCTTTTCTAAAAGGAACACATTTTTGAAATGACTCAAACAATATCAACCTGAAAAAAGAAGTGGGGGGAGGAGAAAAGGCCTTCAGCTACCACACTAAGCTTCACTTTAGATGAGAAAACCTGCTGCTTCCCTCTCCCCTGACATTTCAAACAAAAGCTTTTAACTTGGAAATGGTTCTAAATGATTTTGAGCATCTGGTTCTCATTGACATTCTTAGAGTTAATCTGATTGAACCCCATGGATTAAAACTCAACACCACAATGTTATGCATATTTACATGGATATAATGATTTCATTGGAACTACTTAGGATTGCAGTGTGCATCCGTCTGAATACCTAACTGGGTTATGGATCACGCTCTCTCAGGTGCAAAAGAGCATTTAGTTGTAGATGTAAAGTGAATTAAGCCAAAACACTGCACTTGATGCTGCTTTGTACAGCAACACTAATCCTAACACCAAACAAGTTTAATGAACTTGTTCTAAACCAATTCGGTTATTTATATATTTAATTATTACAGTCCTAGACCAGCATAAACTAATGTGGACCAGCATAACAGATTAAACCATGCTTTTCAACCAATTCGATTTAACTGTATAAGTACTATGGATTTTACTCTTAGGTAAGTAC